TCTCTTTCTTCTTTTTTTTCTCGTGGGTCGCCGTCTCCCCTTTTTTTTTCTTCTTTTGTGTTCCGCGGCCTCCGCCTCCCCCCCCCCCCCCCCCCCCGTCACACTTGGAGAAAGAATCTTTTCTGCCTAAACTTATCCAGGTTGGACAAAAAAAGCCTCTGTCATCTGTGAGTCTCACTGACTGGACACATCTTAATGTACTAAGTTTTCTTCAATTTAGTACTACTATGAGATGTTAAGGTATAGATGGACACTGCTTCCTCTGTTAAATGATGGAGGTGAGAGTGTAGCTAATGCATTCTTGCCTAATATGAATGCCCAGGCTTCGGTCCTCAACACAGTTGGGATGGTATAGTATATGTATAGGAGTTGGGGAGGGGCATCAGATGACAGACAGAGAACCTTTAAACAGGTAAAGCACATATTAAGTAGCACATCTAAAGCCCGTAATTTCTGTAGAATGTTACTTCAAGACACTGTCAAAATACTGTAGAAAACGGGAAAGTTGAGTGAGCTTTTAAAAGCCTGTTGTCCCTTTCAAAAATGGCTTTTAGAATCAAGCACCACTTAAGAGTGCTCAGGTGCCTGCAGGTAGGTAGACAACTGCTAGGAAGTGGAACACTTACCTGTTTGTTTCTTGTTGCCCTCCCCTCCCCAATTCGTAATCCAACAGTGAGTTGGTCAGTAAATACTGAACATCTGTTTATTAGATGTCTTTTCAGGAAAGCACCAGAGAACTTCAGTTTTAAGCAACAATTGAGGTATTGGTATAGATGAATATTACTTGGTTCATGCAGAATGTATCTGTGAATTTTCAGATTAATTACCTGAGAAGGTTTTTCTCTTCTAGAGGTTTGTACATACTTCTTTTCTCAGCAATAAGAGAGCCAGTATGTAAAAACTCGAGCATAAATGTATAATGTACAGCTTAGGGGCATGTTCACTATCCCCCTCAAGCCGTTTGAGCTACGTATTAGTACATGTTTGGCCACAGTAACAAAGTCTTGCTAATTTTAGCTTGAACAGTACTGCATTTACTAGTGCATGTAACTGGAAATTGAGAGGTAGGGCAGTGTGGAGTGTAGGTTTGTTTCATTGTTCGACTTTGTTGCCAAGGACCTGGCTTCCTTTCAGCATATCTGCAGCCTTTGTCATTGTACGTTTGTGCTGGTCCTCTTTAGGCACACTTTTCACTACCACATCTGCAGTACCTGCTGCCCTACCGACCTTGTGACCGTTTCTTTGTCCTAAGAATAAGGCTTCTGACTAGAGTAAAGAGCAGTCATTAAGCTGCTGTGTTCTTTTTGAATAAATCCATTTGTGTTCAGAAGTACCGTGGAATGTGATGAGAATGGCAGCATCCTGAAAAATGAGCAAAGTTGATGTAACTGAACCTGAAAACAAGGGACACGCAACTTTGAGAGCTGGGTCTCAGGGGCCTAGCTTTCCATTCTAGCAATTAGAGCTATGTGTATTTATTGTATCTTTTTTTCTCTTAGCTTTAGTTTCGTATTAGGTAAATGTACTAGTGAGAACCACAGCAAGCACCTGTGGAAGAATTAAGCATAGATAAATGCTCAGTAACAGTTTTCCACAGTATAATGTTGAGTTATTTTTGTTGTTGGGTCACTTTGAGTGAGACCTACACTTTTGAAGTTGGGTTCTGGAATTTGTGAAGAAATCCAAGCTAGGTCTCTTTCTGTAGTTGCCGTTAAATACCATACCAAGATCTGTTTAGAGCATATGGAGATGGCAGTAAGTAGTTCTTGTTGGTGACATTGCTCATGGATTTGGAGTTTGTGTTCACCAAAGTGTTTGTAGTTGATTTGATGTTTCTCAAAACTTAGCTGTTTTGGGTTGGTTGGTTTACAGTGATTGCAGGAAAACAAGTTCTGGAGTGCACTTCAGTAGAAGGGCTTTTGAGAAGCACGCACAAAGCCCCATGACAGACAGACTTCCGAATGCCAGAAAAAAATTATATTCTTGTGTTGTGCAATAAAAGTTAAAACATATGAACCAAGCCAGGTGTGGTGTCGCATGCTTTTAATCCTAGCACTTGGAAGGCACAGGCAAGTGGCTCTCTGAGTCTAGAGAGCAGCCAGGGCTACACAGAACAACCCTGTCGTTGAAAACATAAGCCAAACAAAAACAAACCAAAACCTCCAACAAAAATCACGTATCATGTGAGCCATTGTAAGAATTATTGGAAAAATAAAATGTGCGTATTACTTTGCTAAGTTTATTTTTACTGTGTGGGTGTATTTTTACTGTATGTGAAAGGTGTTTGTGCACGTGCACACACACATGTTGCCAGGTGAAGCCCAGTGCCATACCTATGCTAGCTAGGCATAGGCTACCACTGAACCACACCCCAGCCCTGCTTTCCTTTTGTTAAGTCTTTCGGTCATAGTTACATCTAACCTGTTGAGGACCTCACATTTAGATACTAGTCACCAATCAGAGTAGTAGTACAAGTGGCATGTGAAGGGTGTTACTACTCTTTCATGCTTTGAAGTTAAGAGTTGCCTATGAATGCAGACCTTGAAAACCCACCATCTGCCTTAGATGTGAGATTTCTAAATTCTGCTTAGCCTTGGAGTTAATTCTTCAAGGAAAGCTTTTCAGGCGTTTCTTGCACATGAATTCCCTCTTCTTACAGCATTGGGCACTCTTGTGTAAAGCAAGTGCTTTACCACTGACTTGTGTCCCCATCCCTGTTTGTATTGATCTCAAAAGGTGGGCTTCAGTTGGGAGTGAAGGTTATTTAGGAATGGAGTGAGGCCCACTAGTGCTTGAAGTGGATAAGTCCAGAAGCCTCAGCATGCTTTTGTTTTCTGAGCGTTACTGTCGGTGCTGTGACTCCTTTTCTTAATTGAGGACAAATAGTGTATTGCCCCATTCTTTGCACTCGTTGGTTTCATGTTCTCCTTTTTAGGTATTCCTGGGGATTGAACCCAGGGCCTCATGCATGCTAGCAAGTACTCTATCTTTGAGTTATAACTTCAGCCCTATAGCACCAATTTTGCTAGCATCAATCAATGATTAAAACAAAAAACAGGCAAACAAAACCTAAAATAAATATTTCTTTCTTAGTCCTTGTGCACATATTTTCTTCCAGATTGTTGAGAGGGCCGAATGAAAGTCACAGTAGTAGTAGAAATTGCCTGATCATAACACAATGCCATGGGAGAAGTGAGATGATGCAGGCTTGTGGAGGTGGAGCAGGAGGTGGGAGCTTTTTCCTCTTCAGTGAGGTTCCCTCAGCATGGACTCAAGTGTTTCTGTTCTGTGATCAACAGGAGGACTCACAAACGGCAGTGGAAGATACATCTCTGCTGCTCCCGGTGCCGAAGCCAAGTACCGCAGTGCAAGCAGTGCCTCCAGCCTTTTCAGCCCCAGCAGCACCCTTTTTTCCTCCTCTCGTTTGAGATATGGAATGTCTGATGTTATGCCCTCTGGCAGGAGCAGACTTTTGGAAGATTTTCGAAATAACCGGTACCCTAATTTACAACTGCGGGAGATTGCTGGGCATATAATGGAATTTTCCCAAGACCAGCATGGGTCTAGGTAAGGACCTATCTTTGGCCCCCCAGCATAACTGCAATCTGTGTCCCAGATTCCATGCCTCAGATAGCTAGTTATCACACCGTAGAGGCATGATGCCTTTTGGTAATTCACAGTATCCGTCTGCTGTGCCTCTCAGAGGGATTTTGGGCCCAGGACCATTACCTGACCAAATGTTTGAAAGAGCTTTTAGTAGTCTGGACCATGAACTATGAGCAAACTTTTGTCTTGTGAGCAATTAGTCTGTGTTTCTAGTTCAGAAGAATCTCTTAAAATGCTGTTGTTTGCCACTGGGCATGGTGGTATATACCCGTAATCCCAGTACCCAAGAGACAGAGGCAGGAGGATTGCTACAAGTTCAGTCCATCTTGTTCTACACTAGTGCACTTATCTCTTTGTATGTGGAAGCAGCCTTCCCCGGAAGCCTTGTGCATACACTGCAGTGGTCAGCACTGAAAGGCCTGCTGTGAAGGAGACACTGTCAAATGGCAGTGTGGATCCCCAGTTCACAGGAACACAACAGGCCTAGTGCTTGCTCTCATCCCTGCTGCTCTAAGAGCTGCTCAGAGGGCCGCCCTGGGCCTAGGGACCCAGTGAGGTGAGATGCCGCTCATCTTCCCTCTCGTCTCTGTTGTGGTTTCTTCCTCTCCATGTTCAGGGAAACTCCTATTGTCTCCTTGCTCTGTAGCTTCTGCTAGGGACCTCCCCCGAGGAGTGGAGGCTGGGTGCAGAGACAGCAAGGTTTTCCTGAGTGGGTCAAATGGGTAGCAGTATTTCTGAAGCTAATGACTGTGTATACTAATATTTCTATATTTCTATGGATAGGGGTTATAGAATGGAGTGAAGACCATAAGCCTTAAGTTTCTGATGAGGGAGGGACTAGTTTCTAAGGATCAAAGTCAAGCAGAGCTGGTGCTTTTGTGCATATGCCACCCTGTAGTGCAGTACAGCAAAACAGAATTACACTTGAAAGTTGAACTGTGGTAGGGGAATTCCCTCATTCAGAAATCTTCCCTTGGAGAGCTTGAGGTTGATTTAAACAGCCCAGCATGCTCACTTCTGTAATCCTAGCACTTGGGGAGACGGAGGCAGGAGGGTCTCTCTTGAGTTTGAGGCCAGCCTGGTCTATATAACAATTTTGAGGCCAGCCAAGGCTGCATAGTGAGACCCCATCTTAAAAAAACAAACCAGCAACAAAACCCACTGTATTTACTGGACACATGGGCTGCATGTTGCAGGACTGATCTTTCAAGTGATGCCCCTCACACCTTTGCAAGTCTTCTCTGTGTGTGGTTTGATTGCCCTTCACTCTGTTCTTCAGATTCATTCAGCTGAAACTAGAGCGTGCCACAGCAGCTGAGCGCCAGCTCGTCTTCAATGAAATCCTCCAGGCTGCGTACCAACTTATGGTGGATGTGTTTGGAAATTACGTCATTCAGAAGTTCTTTGAAGTATGTCTTTGTTCTTTCTGCCCTTTAACTTTGAGAATCTCTAGACTATTTGATTTTCATTGGCTTTTTGAGGCACAACAGCTCATCCCAGCCTTTAAAGTGGTAGGATCTTCGTGAAGAGCTTCTTAGTTTTTCTCCAGTTCCTTACCAGTAATCATTATGCTCAATGTGTTAAATGACCACACAGATAGGCTCTAGGCGTATGATTTGACAACTGTCCGTACGTGAGACCCAGCACAGAATGTAGACCAGACTGGGCTTGAACTCTCGATCCACCTGCCTCTGCTTCTGTCTTACAAGTGCTGGGATTAAAGGCATGCACCACCTTTAAAAAGAGATTGTTTAAAAAAATAAGGTATATAGATATATAGGGGAAGGGGTACCTGAGGAGGTCTGAGACACCAGATCCCTTGAAGCTGGAGTCAGGTGGTTGTGAGCTGCTTGACAGGTGTTAGGGGATCAAACACAGGTCCTTTGGTAGAATGATACTTGCCCTAATTGATGAGCCCCACCTCCACAGCCTCCATCACAGTGGTTCACATTGTCACATGGATCATTTTAGCAGAATTACAATAACACATTGTGAAAATCAAAAAGAATGAACAATGCCTAAGGAGTTGGTTTTGTTCACCAGCCTCAGCATTTCCATTGTGGCGTGAGATTATGTGTATGGGGTGTCCTTTGGCCTTCTTTTGCCCATTAACTTGAGTCATGGACTCTTGAGTCTCTTCCGTACATTAATGATAATAATGTCTGCTCCCTCTAATAAGTTAAAATTTCAAAAATTTGGATATTTAATATTTATATTAATAATAATGTTGTCATTGCTTATCATTGTCAGCAGCTCCAAACTGTTGGGTGACACAAAAACACTGAAAGAATCAAGTGTGGGAGCAGTTGCTGGACTCTGAGCTTAACTGCTAACACATCTATAATTGTCTTATGGCCTCCTGTTTGTGTGAAGATTTAAGAGTGGGTCTCTCAGACCTTGCCTGCCCTCTTCCTCACAGACACCTAATGGCTCAGTTCTCCAGCTAGACTAAGACACCAACGGCTGTGCTTCTAATTCTAGACTGTCACTTCACTGCCATTAGTCAGCTGGAGTGCCAGAACAAATGTGACATGTAGCCCTGTGATTTAGATCAAACCAAAGAATTTCCTTAGGCCTATGGGTGAAACATGTAGCCTTGGACAGTCCCATGATGGTTGTATTCAGATGAATCCAGAAAGCCAAGGATGAAAAATGACCCTCAGGAGAATTTTAACATTCTGTGATGTCATCTCTCAGGTTCCTTGGCTTCTTTCACAGGTGTTCTGTTAATATCAGCAGTCCTTGAAAAACAGTAATTCATAAGAGTGTTACATATACTTGGCCCACAGTTGCAGAATCCGCTGGGTGAGAAGGCTTGCTGGCGTACACCTTGCACATGTACGTGGGCTGCCTATCTGTGAGTTATCACATCACTCCTAAGCTTACTGAGCCTGAAGACAGTCCTGTCCCTGCTCCTGCCTTTGAATCAGCAGTTATGTGTCTGTTTCCCTTCATTTAGAAATGAATGCTAATGTCTTAATCAGTTAGGGCATTGAAACTTTTTTTTGCAAGGTGGCAATGAAGAAAGGTCAGAGGCTGAGAACTGTTGGCTTGAGGGAATTGTGGCTCTTTAAAAGGTGTGGTTGAATAGGCCAAATTGACAGCAAGAGATGGAGGCTAGACACAGTACAGGTAAAGGAAGACTTTGTTCTCGCTGGTTTTTCTCCTTTACTTAAGTAATGGCATCTCTTACATGTTGTGTCTAGTTTGGCAGCCATGAACAGAAGCTGGCTTTGGCTGAGCGGATTCGAGGCCATGTCCTGTCATTGGCACTGCAGATGTATGGCTGCCGAGTTATCCAGAAAGCTTTGGAATTTATTCCCTCAGACCAGCAGGTAATTGTAAGTTTCCCTTTCACTTTTCTCTTGGTGTTTCTCTGTGGTACGTGCAGTGGCCTGTGAAGACTGTCAGTGTGGAGGCTCTTGGCTGTCATATGGTTGTGCTTCCCATCTGCAGTGCAAGCAGTAATTGTCCGGTCAGTCTACAAGATTCTAGTGGGTCAGATAGTTTCTAGCCTCATCTCATTAACATCTCTGGTGTAGGCCTAGTAGCTATAGTTTTACAATGTGCTGGACAGGAACAGTGGAAAAGAGTGTTGCCTGTGGGGGAGGTCCTCCCCCATGCACTGCAGAGGCAAGGCTTTGCAGAGTTAGACAGGAGAAAGGGAATGGAGGCTTGAACAGTTAGCTGCTGTGAGTAGGGGTTGGGAGAGGAGTCACCCAAGAGGCCCACAGGTGGGGAAGGCACACCACAGCTGTTTGTGCCCAGTGGTGTCAAGGCCTCTGGCCCACAGCTCCTCAGCCCTGGTGCTCTGAGCCTCCCTCAGCCTTCTCAGTGGAGGGGTTGCTGTTGTCTGGCGGTGATGACCCACTTGCCCTCACTGAGGACAAAGTTTGATGATGAGAATCTGTTATGGACTCGTTCTGAGCCAGACAGGAGCCCTCAGCTCTGATTCAGACCCACTCCACAGCAGCCAGTGTGCAGATGGTGGCAGGTGAAGGCTGGTGGAGCCTAGGGCACTTGGGGCTGAGTCTCATAGCTAGGCACCTGAAGATGCTGTGGAGATGGGTGAAGCTGGAGACAGCTCTCTCTGGCTGGACAATGTAGCCCAGGTAAGAAAGAGCTGTCTAGCTGAGTGTGGAGGGACAGAGTAGAATCCCAGCATGTTGCGAGGTAGATGCAGGAGAATCACCCCATATTTGAAGCCAGCTATAGAAAGCTAGATAGCAAGACCCTGTCCTCCACTCTCCAAGAGAGGTGCTGTTTGAAATTACAGGCAGACCTGAGGCTAGTTTTTATTGTTATGTATCATTCACTCAAGCATTATGAATTTTAATGACATCAGGTTTTGTGGCTCAGTGAATCATACTTAATTCTGTTTTTTTTTTTTTTTCTTCCCTACTTGGAAGCTTCTTTTCTCTTCAATCATGATAGCCAGTTACTAAAAAAAAAAAAAAAAAAAAAAAAAGCAGCTGTTTTGACCCTTATGCGTGCTTTTCCCCCTTCACTGGGAAATTGTTTTGCTAGCTTTTTACATTTTTTTTTGTCTTTTCCAGGTGCTATTGCTCTCTCTGCCCTCTTCTCCAAGTCTTCTCATTTCTGTGGCAATACTGGGGATTAAAACCAGGGTTTTATATAGGTTGGGTGACTGCCCTGCCACTGGCCTTGAAAGCCTCCTGCCTAGGTTGGCCCCCTGAAAAGCTGCAGTCATGAGCTTGTGCCACCAAGCAGAGTTCTTTCATCTCCTTTTTCTGGCCCTGTTTTCTTTGGTTTCTTGTTCTGAGTTTGTACTACTCTTCTGCTGTGGATTATATACTTATTGTAGATTTGCATTTTTTATTTTAGAAGATGAAGTTTATCATTTCTATGAGTATGTGTTCCAGGCAAAAGAAATGGCTCTTGTCTTGTGTTAGTAAATGCTCCTTTGGACTAAGCCATTGTGATTATGAGTGTCTTCTATTAGATGATATTTTAGTTGCTCTGCTGTCAGTACCTCAGGAATCCACTCACTATTCATGAGTGGTGACATTCTATCAGAAATTTAGAGTAATACAGATAGAAGAACCAGGGAAATAGGGGCACAGACGTCTGGCCAGCCAGGTTTGGCATTTCACTTTTAGGTGACCTGAGGCAAGGTGTGTCAGGAAAAGGCTCCAGTCAACATCTCAGTTGGTTCCAGTACACACCCTCTTTCTCTCTTTCTCTCTCTCCTAACTGCATGGACATCACTAAGGAACTGGAAAAACCATTCCTACTGACTTTAATCAATATACCTTGGTAGAAAATCATTGTCACTCAAATCATCAATACTGGGAGTCAAAGCTCTGAAATTTATATTCTGTTGTTTTTTGTCTGTCCCTGTTTCTCTTGACTCTACCAAAGGAAGGAGCCCTCTGAGACATGTTCTTGGCATGTGTAGGTTAACCTTGAACCTCTTGGGTTCTCCAGCAGTCATTTTTAGTCTCTCTAGGAATATTCTATCACCACCATTGGCTGTCTATAGATTTAGTGTGTTTTGATGTTTTGAGATGGCTTTTACTCTGTAGGCCCAGCAGACCTGGAACTTGTGCATGTCCATAGCTGGCCTTGAATTTGAGGCAGCCCTCCTGCCTTAGCCTCTCCAGTACTAGAATTACATGGCTAAAACATGACTTCTATAGTTTTATGTGTGTGACTTCACCTATCAGTTTTTCTGTGGCTGAGATTGTATAATTGACAGGTGCTTTCCTGGCAAACACAGGCTGCATTGTGGTGCCCCATTGCTTGGGTGTGAGGCCTGACAGTCTAGGTCTTTTTGAACAAGCTTTGTTATTTGTTCCTGTGCTGCATGTGTCATCTGTTAGGAGGGAGCGAAAGCACACTCAGCTCTAGGAGTTCTTTCTCACCTGGGTAAATTAATAATCCAAGCTTGCATGGTTGTCCGAATACAAGTGTGATGAGTTGTATGATCTTGTCAATTCTGTGCACTTGATGGCCTTTTCTGTTTGAAGATGACTATGGTAGGGTTTATGTTTTTGTTTTGTTTTGTTTTGAGTTTCAGGTAGCCCAGGTCAGACTTGAACTCTTTATCATCTTGCTTCCTCCTCGATGTTTACCACCAAACCCTGGCATGCTTTTAAAAATAGGTCTTCCTAGGTAGTATAGGCTAGCTAAGAAGTTGCTGGGTACCAATTCCAATCCTGTCTCAGCCCCTAAGACCTGGAGTTAGAGGTGTGCGCCACTACACTTGCCTGGTGCCACTGTTTAGAGCCTCAACATGTCATTTCCAAGTTTATCTTTTTAAATCCCACCTGCCTTCACTCACTTGCTGTGTTGTTGCTTGGCTACCATTGACTTTGTCATGGATCTGTTTAGTGCTTGCTGCTTGGTGTAGGGAGTGGGGACTGTCCAGATGCTGGCTGGCTGTGATTCTGGTGGTGCCTTCTTTCTTTGTCTCCAATAGAACGAGATGGTGCGGGAGCTAGATGGCCATGTCCTGAAGTGTGTGAAAGACCAGAATGGCAACCATGTGGTTCAGAAGTGCATTGAATGTGTACAGCCTCAGTCTTTGCAGTTTATCATCGATGCATTCAAGGGGCAGGTGAGTGACTCAGGTTCACGTTGTCAGCCTCCTCTTCACTCTGTGCTCAGTCCTGTGCCATGCTGTCAACCTGGCCATATAACAAGGGCTCTTCCTTTTATTCTCTGGAGGTCTGCCATTTACAACAGAACTGCCAAGATGCATTTAATATTTGAAAGACATCCCCTCCCCCCCATGAGTACTTATTATCCTGATATTTTAAAGTTTTTGTTACATAAAAAATTAAGATATAATCTTACCAATCATGATTGAATGTATCTTCAAAGTAACCAAGTGTCCTTGCTTACAGCTTTTTGAGAGTGTGTGTGGTGAGCATGATTGTTTGAATTGTACTGGATAGTCACATAATGCCCAGGGCTTACTGGGAGTTTCTGCCTTAGCCTCTCCAGTGGAGGGGAAGGAGAAACATTCGTTCCCTGAGATGTTGTATTGGAGCTGGAGAGATGGCTCAGTGGTTAAGAGCACTTGTTACTCTTGCAGGGGACGTGAGTTGCATTCCCAGCACCTACACGACCACTATAACTATCTGTAACTACTCCAGGGAATTAGATACCTCTTTCTGGCTGTGATGGTCACACGTACACATAGATAAATACCTTAAAAAGCCATTAAATTAATAAAAATGTAAGACAAAGAAAGTTTGTGCTTTTTTGAGGGAGTGGAACAGCTAGCTGTATGTCTGTATGGAAGCTTTTAGATTCAATTGCCACTTTTGTATGGGCTTCTTTTTGTTAGGCATCACTGTGCTGGATGAGTGCTCGACCTGTGAGCTCCAGCTCCAGCTCCAAGCTGTTTTTTCAGGCAGGGTCTTGACTGTAGCCCAGCCTGCCCTGAAGCAGTTTTTGTCTGTCTGCATCCAGAGTGTTGAGATTAAAGGTGCTGACCACCATGCCCGTTTTCTCCTCCTGTTTTTCGCCCTATCTTTTGGAAAGGCAATTGGTTGATCCTTTTGATTCTATTTTGTTGGTTTGTGTCTGTTTCCAGACAGGTGTGTGTGTGTGTGTGTGTGTGTGTGTGTGTGTGTGTGTGTGTGTAACCCTAGCTATCCTGTAACTGAATTTGTAGATCAGGCTGCCCTGATCTACAGATCTGCACCAGCCTCTGCCTGCCAAGTGTGCTGGGACTAAAGGAATGCACCACCATACCCGTTCCCCCCCTCTACTTTCCCCCCTTTTCTTCAGTGTTTGAAACAGGGTTTCTCTGTGTATCCCTGGCTGGCCTGGAACTCAAGAGACCCAACTCTCTGCCTCCTGAGTGCTGGGATTAAAGGTGTGTGCTACCACTGCCTGGTGACATTTTTGATTATTGACTAAGTGGATTTTTCTGGACCTTTACTTATTTCCATTTCATTTTAGCTTTCTTGGAAAAAAAGTTCATTTCATGTAATTTATACACTTAAATGAATTCCTAAAACAACCTCAGTGGTTTTTTAACATGAGAGGTAATGAGGTAACAGCACTCAAGTTACTCTTGTGTGTGTCTGCTCCAGGTGTTTGCTTTGTCTACGCACCCTTACGGCTGCAGAGTGATCCAGAGGATCCTAGAGCACTGTCTTCCTGACCAGACCCTGCCTATCCTGGAGGAGCTACACCAGCACACGGAGCAGCTTGTGCAGGTACTTCTGTCACCAGAAGAGAAGCTGTGGCCCAATGGGCTTCTGTGAAACTGGAGTGTGTATCTTATTAGGAGAGAGCATTAACATGTCATCAAGTCCTTCAAGTCTTTGGAGAATGTGCGTTCCGTGAATATAGACACTGATGAGAAGCCCTGGCCCATGAGTTAGGAGAGGACCCTGCACTAGCTCCCCACTCCACTGGCACACATCATGTGTGCTGGTTTATTCTTCTTTTGGTATCTGCTTCAGCTACTGATAAATAATGAACCCTGGCTGTTCTGTTGAATGCAAATCTATAGAAAGGTGCAAGCACAACCTTTTTGCAGCTTCTATTAGGGAAAAACAGTTCTTTATTCCCCAAACACTCCCTCCCCCATTCTAAAATAATTATAGCCCTACTTGCAGTTAGTAATTTGTGAAGAGCCTAGCCAGAAAGTAGGCTCATAAATATATAAAGAAAAAAGTCTGTTGTCTAGTGACAGTGTGTTCTTCTTTTGTAATGAGAGAAAAATTGTTAATACCTGTCTGTTTAAAAAATCATTTTAGGTTTCTTTACATTCAGCTTAATTTCATTGCTGCTCGGTCATTACCCCACTTCTCTGCTTCACAAGAGTGATAGATGTTAATTAGGTGGAATCCACAGAACTGTTTCTTACCTATATTTTCTTTGTTTTGTTGCTTCTCAAATAGGATCAGTATGGAAATTATGTAATCCAACATGTACTGGAACATGGTCGTCCTGAGGATAAAAGCAAAATTGTAGCAGAGATCCGAGGCAATGTGCTTGTATTGAGTCAGCACAAGTTTGCAAGGTGTGTGCTTTGGGGAGCAAGGATGGGGCTCAGTTCAGCTGTAGCATCTTGTTCCTAAATTCTTATATTTAGTTATTTGGTTTTTTGCGTGTGCATGTGTGTGTGGGCCTGTGTCCACTGCAGCACGGTGTGCATGTGGAACTCGGAGGACAGCTTGGGGAATTGGTTCTCTTTTTCCATCTTACAATTCTGAGAATCAACTATTCTTTATAATGTTTTCTTTTTGTTTTAATGTATTGCCTACTTTAAAAGTCAAGTGGTATATCAAGTATGGCTGCAAAGACATTCCTTAAATGCTCTTTCTACCCCTGTGGAACATCTACTGAAATCTGGGGGCTGTTTCTAAAGTACTGTACTTTGATCCCTGTATGTTTCCTACATTAGGTGGGCATTGTGAGATGTTTTCTACTCATCTTCTTTTGCCTGAGAAGGGGCAGTTTGTCAGATCTGGCCAGTCTTCGGAGTGTCAAGTGGTCTTTTGAGCAAATTCATTTTTCACTGCTCATAGTACAGCTTGTTTTTCCAGTATTTTCTTGTCTGGTGTTTTTGTGTGACTTGCTAGACAGATAGTATGGCTCATGTTTACCAGTGTTCATTAATATTCATTGTTTTTAAAAGATTTATTTATTATTTGTACAGTATTCTGACTGCATGTACACCTGTATGCCAGAAAGAGGGCACCAGATCTCATGGTTATGAGCCACCATGCTGGGAATTGAACTCAGGACCTTTGGAAGAACAGCCAGTGCTCTTTAATATCTGAGCCATCTCTCCAGCCCCCTAAAATTGATTTGTTCTGTTTTGTTTTTTGAGACAGGCTTTCTTTGTGTAGTTTTGGCTGTCCTGGACTTGCTTTGTAGACCAGGCTGGCCTAGACCACTCAGAGATCTGCCTGCCTCCTGTCTCCCTTAGTGCTGGGATTACAGGCATGTACCAACTCGCCCAGCTTCTAATATTCACTTTTAATTAGTGAGATCTTTAAAAAATATATTTTTTAGAATTGTGTGTGGTGCCCGTGTGGAGCTTAGACCTTTTGCAGTTGTGCTTACTGAACCTGGCTACCTTATGTAGGCGTTGCCTCTTAAGCCTTTTCTCCTTAAGGGTCTGGGACCCAGAGCTATTCTTCTCTTTGAACCCTTTGCACAACCTCATGTACTGATTGCTGGGTCTTGGGTTCAGTGTGACAGCAGTCCACATAGCATGCTCTACTGTTGACCTGCACAGCTTTGTGCCCATGGAGCCAAGGTGAGGGTACATATCCCCTAATAAAGGCAGGCAATCAATGTGAGGAATCACCCTGCTTGGTAACTAGTCACCATCCTGGCAGTGAGTCATTTAATGTTAGAGAACTATGCCTTAGTTAGAACCACTCCTTTCCAAGATGAGGTGTTTCATGCTCATAACGGCCTCTGGCCTCTGAGCACCCAAAAGTGATTTGTCACAATTTGAAGTTCCCTCACTAAGCCCGGAACTGCTGCCACGCCCCAGTGTCTGTTTCATGGGAGGTGTGACAAGAAAGAGTCTTGTTGCCAAGCCTGAGCTCACAGGTGCAAGGACAGCATCGTAAGTCTTGGTATGTGGTGAAATAGTAAGATAGCTGAGCTGTTAAAGCTAGCTCTGCTGCCAACCTTGTGTGTCAGTGTGCTTGCTTCTCATGCTCATTACTGTCACCTGTCAGCAGGTCAGGGCGCCTCTCCTGGATACTCTATAGACACCCCAGTGTTTTCAGGTCAAAAGAGGAATCTTACAAAGCCAGACCCTGCTGGGGAAATAAGTTCCCTTGTGTACTGTCTCCACTCAGCGGCTGTCCTGATTAAGGTAGTTCTTCCCAATTTGTCTCATGGCAGCAATGTTGTGGAGAAGTGTGTCACTCATGCCTCACGTACAGAGCGTGCTGTGCTCATTGATGAGGTATGCACCATGAATGACGGACCTCACAGTGCCTTATACACCATGATGAAGGATCAGTATGCCAACTATGTGGTCCAGAAGATGATTGATGTGGCTGAGCCTGGTCAGCGGAAGATTGTCATGCACAAGGTAAGCAGATGGCCCAGAGAGATGGCAGACATCGGCTCTCTTTGTGTTTGTAGCGCTTGTCTGTGTTCTCTCCGTATAGAGTCACTATGGCCATTCCATGTTTGCCACTCCTCTCCTTGACTCACAGTGTGGGAGCCTTGTTTCTTCCCCTTCCCCCCTTTTTTTCAACTTCATTATTTTCATTTTTCTCCTGTTTTTATGAGCATGTGTGGGTGGTCGACATGCATGCCTGTGCACTACACGCATGTAGTGTTTTTTAACATTTTGTTGAGCGTGAGTGTGCCATGGTGTGTGTCTAGATCACACTAAAGTGGATAGGTTTGATGACAAGTACACTTTACCCACTGGACCACGATGTCGGGTCTTAAGAAGCTTAGTTCCTGTTTTTGCATGTTCTGGAGGGTAAACCCAGGCAGGCCTGCTGCATGCTAGGTAAGCATTCTGCCACTAAAGCCACACCCCAGCCTTTTTTGTTTGTTTGTTTGTTGTGTTTTGGGAAGTTGGTTTGTTGACAGAGCTCCATTGTGTAGGCCCAGCTGGCCTTAAAACCAGCCCCCTCCTGGTTTAGCCTCCTAAGTGCTAGGATTGCTGGCATATGCTGCACAGTTTTGTAAAATAATTCCGTCCATGGTCTCTGAGATCAACTTACCAGTCCTGTTTCCTGAATCTTCTTTTTCACCCATTCTACCACACTTTCCTGTGGTGTGTCATGACTAAGACCTGCTCTCTGTTGGCCCACAGTGTGCTGGACAGGAACAGTGGAAAAGAGGTCCTCCCCCCATGCACTGCAGAGGCAAGGCTTTGCAGAGTTAGACAGGAGAAAGGGAATAGAGGCTTGAACAGTTAGCTGCTGTGAGTAGGGGTTGGGAGAGGAGTCACCCAAGAGGCCCACAGGTGGGGAAGGCACACCACAGCTGTTTGTGCCCAGTGGTGTCAAGGCCTCTGGCCCACAGCTCCTCAGCCCTGGTGCTCTGAGCCTCCCTCAGCCTTCTCAGTGGAGGGGTTGCTGTTGTCTGGCGGTGATGACCCACTTGCCCTCACTGAGGACAAAGTTTGATGATGAGAATCTGTTATGGACTCGTTCTGAGCCAGACAGGAGCCCTCAGCTCTGATTCAGACCCACTCCACAGCAGCCAGTGTGCAGATGGTGGCAGGTGAAGGCTGGTGGAGCCCAGGGCACTTGGGGCTGAGTGTCACACCATGTTGTTGTGTGATGGTGTTGTGAAACAGGGCTGGTATATGTAGTAGTTGGCAGCACAGTACTAAGCCTGTGCCTGTAGCCAGCTCCCCTAAACAGTTGTCTTGATGCTCACTGAGGGAGTGTGCACATAGGCACAGCAAAGGCGGGAATAGGAAGGGCTGAGAAGAGAGTGTGGTAGAGTGCTGTTTACAGTGTGTGGGTAGGAAGAGGGCCCTTGAAGGACGGACATTGAATACAGCTTTCCAGAAAGAGCATGCCCAGTCATGAAGACTTGGTTATCAGAAAGGAGATTCTTGGGCATGCATGGGAAAGTCAAAGAACAGCTTACTTGCTTGCTTTCCACCGTGTGGACTCTGAGGATGGAACTCAGGTTGTCAGGCTTGGTGGCAAGTACTTCTACCCAGGGAGCATCATTCAGGCCCAGGACTGTGCTTTAAGTAATTGTCCTACTGATGTGCCACAACTGTAACTTGGAGCAGGGGAAGCCGTGAAAACAGCTGAGCTCAAAGCTGGTAGCATTTTTCTGACTGAAAAGAATTGGTTAGTGGCAGGTAGGACCAAGAGGTAGGAAGGGCTGGGAACTGCTTGCCCACAGCTAGGGCCATGTGGGAGAAGAGTGGGAGATCCCATTTCACGTCTTACTAGTCAGGTTAAAATGGTGTGCTGTGGAGAGAGAGAAGAGGAGTGTGGAGGTTAAGGAGTATAAAAGCCAAATTTTGTGCGCGTGCGTGCGTGTGTGTGTGTGTGTGTGTGTGTGTGTGTGTGTGTGTGTGTGTGTCTCGGGGTGGTTATCTAAAGCAAACCCCTTGTTGAGAACTGGGTCCTTACCATGCCCCGGTGTGCAGTGCCTTTGGACAGGCAAGCTTGGGAAGGTGTGTAGAGTGCTACCTAGAACCCAGGACAGCTTGTTAGCAGCCACTGCCCTGTAGGTGCCAGGATGGAGGTGTGCTGTTTCCTGGCCTGTGTTCTGTGTGGGCTCCAGCAGCTTATAGAGCTCATTGCCCCTTCCTTGCTTTGCGCTTGCAGCTGAGCAGACTAACTGCTGACCCTGTGAGCTTCAAGGTGGGCCACCACCTGACTCCTGGAGTGGTGCCCTGTGAGGTGTGTGTGCAGTGTGAGCTTGGGTGGGACACAGTTAAACTGCCCCTCCCCCACCTTCTGATGGCTACCTGAGCGGAAGGAGTCAGCACTGGAGCATGCCTCTAAGCTCCACGTGGGGTCTCTTCTCACCTGGGCACACAGGGCCAGGTCCAGGGCAGCGATCCAAGATGATGCTCACAGGGGTGACCAGAGCTCAGGGTGGAGGAGGAGTAAGGTGCAGGGTAAGCGGGATGGGGTGACTGGTTCCAGAGCTGTGTCATCAATGTTGGAAGAGTGAGTTTCTGGGCTGAGATACCTGTACTATTCATTATCCCTAGTTTATCTTTGGCTGAGAGATAGAAACACTCTTTTATTTCCCTCATCTGCACTGGCACAGTGTCCTCTTTATTTCTTTTTCTATTTATTTATTGGTATTTCAATTACGGTTTTCATTGCTGTGATAAAACACAATGGCCACAAACAGTTTGGGAAGGAAAAGGGTTAGTTCATCTTCAAAAATTCTCGGTCTATTCAATTATTAAAGGAAAACTTTGGGGAAGACTCAAAGCAGGAGCCTAGAGGCAGTGACTGATACAGAGGTGGTGGAGGGACGCAGCTTGCTGGCTTGGCTGAAGGCCTATAGCGCCCAGGAGCATCTATCCAGGGGTGGGTACCACCGAGTGGGCTGGCCTTTCTTTCATCATTCATGAATCAACAAAATGCACCACAGGCCAATCCGGTGGGGCATTTTCTCAGTCAAGGTTCCATCTTCTATAATAACACTAGCTTGTATCAAGTTTATACTAAAAACTAGCCAGTATAGTCGACCCTTGTCAGATTGACACAGTCATATTACTTTAACCTTTCATCCCCAAGATCTTATTAATACTATAAAATATTTCAACCTTTAAAAGCCTTGCAGCCTTTACAAATACTTTAAAATATCCAAAGTCTCTTTCAAAGTTGAAGCCTTTAAAATATCCATAGTTCCTCACGCTCCAAAATTTGTCCAAAATTCTAAAGTGTCTTAACTGTGGGCTCCTATAAAATCAAAATAAGTTAAATTCTTTCTTATTTCAAGAAGGAAGAAGTCGGGTACAGTTACTCAAAGCAAAACCAAGGTCCAGCAGTGTAAAGCTCAGCATCAGGCTTGTGGCATTCACCCAGGATCTTTTGTGTTCCCTCGGGGGGCTTGGACCACCACACACAGCTTGTCTCCTTCGCTTAGGCTTCCCCACTGCACAGCTGCTGCTGACCTGGGCACTCATCCTCAATGCTGGGCTCTCTGTATTGGGCTCCACTTCACCAATAACCTCTCCAGGTACTCTTCAGGGGTTCTGACCCTGCCATATTGGTACCATGCCTCAACTTCTCTCATGACTCCTTCAGTCTTGGGCCTTCTACTGCCATTGAGGTTGCACCTTCTTCGGTGGTGGACTGTCCTACCCTCTCATGACCCTTTCAAATCCAGTTCCACCTGGAAGAGTCTCCTACACATTACCAAGGTTGGCTGTAGCATGAGGTGTTACCCCCTTAGCCCTTTCTGGGCTACAGCTGCTGACCCTGAGGAAATAACTTTCAGGAGATTTGCTTCACTGATGCTGGTCTCTTTAAAATCACAGCCCAGCTAACCAGCATCAACTGTACTAGTAAAGCAAAGGTTTCGCTTTAGTGGTTAATTTAGAATATCACTCGGAGCCCTGGTAGAGACTTTGCTTCCCTCTGAAGCCTCACAAACCAGACTTTATTGCCTATGCTGCTTGCAACAGTCTCTTTAAGCTCCCACAGTTCGCTGAGCTGAACACACAGTTGCTTTCCCAGCCCAAACTTGAGGTGCGACCACAATCCTCCCTAAAACATCATATCTGTCACAGCATTTCCCCTGATCTGGTGCCAATTTCTGTCTTAGGGTTTCTGTTGCTGTGGTAAAAATATTATAACCAAAAGCAGCTTGAGGAGGAAAGGATTTTATTTCATCTTACAAGTTTTTCCATCATCCAGGGATGTCAGGGCAGGACGGAGGAGTGCTGCCTATTGGCTTGCTCCCAGTAATTTGCTCAGCCTGCTTTCTTACAGCACCTGGTGCCACCAGCACACAGGTGGCACCACTCACGTGGGCTGGGCCCTTCCACATTAGTCATCAAATAGGAAAATGCGTCACAGGCTTGCCCACAAAGCCAATTGTGGGAGCATTTTCTCAGTTGAGGTTCCCTCTTCAAAAATTACTTGTGTAGAGTTGACATAAAATCTAGCCAGCATAGTAGGTCACTGTTAGGTGGAAGTAGTCCTGTGCCCTGGAGAGGTAGGGTTCAGGTGGTGAGTTCAGGCAGATGGTTCCCCAAAGGAAATGCCAACTGCCAGGACAGCCTGGCTTTCTGTGTGTCTGTGGGCAGGTGCTGTGTAGCTGTCTGACACATGCTGTTCTCTACTGGGTGCGCTCCCTGCCCTGTGTCAGCACTTAGGGCAAGAGTTCCTGTCTTTACCTTACGACTTGCTAGCAGTGAAATGTGTGCACTGTATAGTCTGTTTCTGGGAAGGTGCTGGAGACCCCTCAGGCCAGTTTGGCAAGTGTAACACACACTGTCCTCTCCAGATCCGGCCACACATCGCAACTCTTCGGAAGTACACCTATGGCAAGCACATCCTGGCCAAGCTGGAGAAGTACTACATGAAGAATGGCGTGGACTTGGGGCCCATTTGTGGCCCCCCTAATGGCATCATCTGAGCAGTGCACCCATCCCAGTCCCGCTGACCTCACTGACCCTGGCAGATCCAACCAGCAACCAGAAATGCCCAGCGTAGAGTCAGAAGTGGGCACCGGTTGCTCCGGGATCACTCCCTCCTCCAAAAAGGAATCAGATCCACTTGTGGAAAGGCCTTTGTAAATTTAATTTTATTACACATAACATGTACTAATTATTTTTTTTAATTGACTAATTGCCCTGCTGTTTACTGGTGTATAGGAACTTGTACATAGGTAATCAGTGTACATGGGAGGCCACATGCTTTGTTCAATGTTGTATCTATATTCCACATGTGGATACTTTCAGGGTGGTTGGTTTAACAAAAAAAAAGTTTAAAAAAAAAACAAAAAAAGGTTTTTAACTCATTTGCCTTATGGCAAGTTTTGCAAATAGCTCTACCCCACCTCCTCATTTTATTAAAAAACAAACAAAAAACCTGAGAAATTTGAATTTTAGTTAAATGACCCCAAAATGGCATTTAACACTGTTTATAAAATATATATATATACATATATACATATATGAAATGGAATGTTTCAGAGTTGATAAAGCGTCAGCCTGTGACACAGTTCATGACGCTCTGTTTTGGAGGTGATCTCATGCTGAGGAAGGTGGTGGCTGCAGATCCAGGAGGAGCGGGAGCACCGAGGCCAGTGCCAGGGCTGTGTGCTGCCTATGGGCTGCTTTCTGTGAGCGCTGGGCAGCAGAATCGGATTATCTAGCATGAGAGAAAACCTAGCCCTGCTCCTGGCCTCGCTTCTATAGATACATAGTGTATACTTGTGTAGACTTTGCATATATACGGATTTGTAGTATTTTCCTGTTTTGATGTCTAATCTGTATCTATAATGTACCCTAGTAGTCGGACATACTTTTGATTGTACAATTGTACATTTGTATACCTGTAATGTAAATGTGGAGAAGTTTGAATCAACATGAACACGTTTTTTGGTAAGAAAAGAATCAGCCAGCCCCGTGCACTCAGTGTATATCCCACCTTTTATGGTCGTAGAAGATAGTGTTGTATATTGTAAATTGTAATTTCAACCAGAAGTAATTTTTTTTTCTTTTGAAGGAATAAATGTTCTTTATACAGCCTAGTTAATGTTTAAAATGAAAAAAAAAAAATAGCTTGGTTTATTTGTCAGCTAGTCAAGACGGTAGTGAGAGCCTTTCTAAATGTTAATTCAGACGATTCAGTTCACACTAGTGTTCTTTTTTTTTATCCTAAAAAAAAGTAATGTTTTGCTTATTTTGTGACAGTCAAAAAAGGATGTGCAGAAGTTTCGCCTGCCCCTCCCCCGCTCAGCGCCTCCCCTTGTAAAGTGACTCACCCTCCGTTTTGTACAGATGAGCTGTATTTTGCATTTTGTCTACTTGTAAGTGAATGTAACATACTGTCAATCCCCGTTTGAATATAGACTGTAACACTACACGGTGTACATTTCCAGAGCCTCGTGTATATTTCCAATGAACTTTTTGCAAGCACACTTGTAACCATATGTGTATAATTAACAAACCTGTGTATGCTTATGCCTGGGCAACTATTTTTTGTAACTCTTGTGTAGATTGTCTCTAAACAATGTGTGATCTTTATTTTGAAAAAATACAGAACTTTGGAATCTGAACTTGCTGTTTGTATTGCTCTCGGTGTCCACACCTGCTCAGCTGAGCCCCGCTCCAGCTTGGACGTCTCTGCTGCCCCTGAGATGGAGCGGAAGCCTGGAATAGTGAAGTGGCTGGAGTATCGAGCTGATGGCTTCCAAGACTTAATTTTACCCGAGGTTGAGTTCAGTTTGCTTTGTGAAAAGCCAGGTTTCCCAATGTTCCATGACAGGCTTTTCCTGGAGAGACACACAAACACACCCCTATTTGCTCATCCCAGAAAGGGAACCTCTGAAAGCCCAAGTAACGACTGCATCAGAATCCAACTTGGTGAACCAGTGTGTGTGTGTGTGTGTGTGTGTGTGTGTGTGTGTGTGTGTGTGTG